GTAAATACTTTGTAATAGCTTTATAATTGGCAAAAGAAGTTACTGGGACCAGTTAAAGCTCCACAGCGGGAGCAGGACAAATGTATCAGACACAAAAAGGAGGAAAAAAGTCCGCTTCAAACTTTGTCTTTTTTATTTTCTCATAGCATTGTAAAGTCCATTGAAGTCCGAAACATCACGGTGCTTTGAGAAAACAAAGCACCGAGAAAGCCTGGTTAAAGCGGACTTTTTTTCTCCTTTACGTGATAGCAAAAGAGACACTCGTATGCCGACGTTAGCTGACTGAAACTGAGAGGCGAACTTTCTTCCTCTCAGAATACAAATGACATGGGGCAATTTACTTAGCCTCATTTAAAAATTAATACTCTTGCTTTTGTTGGGTATGTTGGGTAAACGCCTTATATCCATACACCAAACGTTAGCAGTAGTCATTTCGACAACCCTCCACCCCGACATGCCCCCATTCCGACACCAATGAACCAGGACTAAACCAGGACTAATCTGCGTAAAAGTCCGCAACTTTAAGTGTGCGCACGAGGAGAATGAGCGCTGCAGCCGCCTCTTTATAAACTTTTATGATTTTATAAGGGACCGACGCATTTCTGGGTCCCTGTGTAAGCCGCTCTGTCCTCTGTGACCAGGTATTATTCTAATATTTTAGCCCTTATTCATGAAAATATCCAGATTCCTAAATCATTTATCTTTTTAGTGTCTCTATCTGACTGCGAGCCCGGCACCGGTTCACTGTCGCAACACACTGAGCTTTACAGCGCATTCTTGTGCGCCCTAGTCTTTGCCAACAGGTAATGAAAGTCTCCTGCTCCTGTCCATTCACAAAAATGTCCAAACTGTCACACAATTCAATTTTTCTTAGTTTCTCTGCTTGGCCGTATCATTGCGCCTTGAGCCAAATGCACGTCACCGCACACTTCCACCTGCAGTGTCAGGTAACGCCCCGTAACCTCTTCATTCATAAAGTTCAAAATTCTTACGCATCTGTCCCTTGTAGCCACGCTGTTCAGCTGCACTCGCAGTACCAGGACCTTTACGCACAGTGGTGCGCCTTCAACAATAGGATTCTGCCACTCCGACCAAAGGATAAAGAAATGTCGGAGTGCAGGGACGTTTGATAAAAAATGGAAATGCCGCGACTCTGACAATAACACGTCAGTATCGGAGTGATGGTATGTCGGATCAGCAACTGTAAAGTTATGTTAGCTAGTAGCCACTCACCTTCATAGTCATAGGTGAAATTTTCAAAAAATAAACTGTGTCCGTTGTCCACTTTGGAGCGGGCTGTGATTCAGTGTTGATCAATGAGACGATGTATGTCGGAAAAGAATATTTTCAGTAAATTTATAAGGGATGTAGTCTATGTAAACAACTTTGGTTTGTCCATCATGAGTTCAATCAACATAGTGACAATTCACCGGAAGTAGGCGTGCACAAAGGTCACTGAATGCGGAAGTACTATGTATCAGCGTGATAATAGTCTATTCCCTTTTTTCTTGAGATGGGTGTAAATAGAAGAATCGTGCCCATTGAACTATTAACACCTAGAATACTAGTTTTTAATAATAATAAAACCAATGAAATACATGGTCCATGTTTTTTGCAAAGAACATAATGTCACATTTTGATATAATGCAATTCAAGTATTCAGAATACAGTACTTTGATTGGACCATGTACACTACTGGTCAAAAGTTTTAGAACACCCTAAGTTTTCCAGTTATTTATTGCAATTCAAGTCGTGCAAGTCCAAGTCATGAAGAGCTTGAACTGGTACAAAGGCAAGTACTGAACAGCCAGAGGTTAAAAAAAAGATAACAAAACAAAGTCCAAGCTTTGCCAAAACTACCGCAGGAAAAGAGAAGATGGTAAGCTTGAAAACATGGAGTGGTCAACAAAATCTCCAGACTTAAACGCCATTGTGCTGGTTTTGGGATGAAGCCAAGCAACCTAGAAGTGCCACATATTTATGGGAACTTGTGCAACAGACTTGGGAAAAGCTTTCTGAAAAATATTAGATTTTTATTGTTAAAAAAAAAAAAAAAGTGTGTTCAGCTGTTATATCTGCAAAAGGTGGACACTTTTATGAATTAAAAGTTTAGAATACGTTTTGGTCAACTGTAAACAGTAAAAAACTGGAAAAAGTGTGGCATCCTAAAACTTTTGACCAGTAGTGTAACTCAATATGTTATCATACATTTTAATTCAATATTTTGTAATTAAATATATATATATATATTTTTTTTTTTCCGATCACAACTTGTGTGTTATGAGTAATCTAGTACTCATAACTGGATCTAACCTGCTGCTGCTACTGTCTTCTACTCCCATTAGCCCAGTACAACAAGGAGCACAAAACAAAATAATAAAAGTCTCTGAAGACTTATTGAGGATTTCATTTCTTGCCTGAGCACAAAGCCCATCTCCTGTCAGCCGCTCTTGTTCTCTCTCAGTGATTTACAGTGAACCTTAAAGCGCCCGTCTCTGCAGGACGACTGATGCAACTCACCGCCATGAAATATGTCTCCAGGAGTCAACACAGAAACACTACTTCAACAGAAAACATGTACAACTCAAGGGCTGGAAGTTTAATCAAAATCTCAATTATGTCAGTTTGCAGTTATTAGGTACACTCAAGGTTACAACATTCGGAGTAGAGAACAAAATGGTAAGTCTTTTTGCACCTGCTAAGCACATACAGACAATGAAAAATGCTTGGCTTTTAAAATGTGCAGGTGTGTGCTTGCAGGATTTTATTAATCAAGATTAATGCTATTGTGTCTAATTTGGCCACCTGAGGTCTACTGTTGCTATAATATTTTAACTTTAACTTTTTAACTTTAATTTAATATTTTAACAAAACTTTTTTCTAAAGGTGCACTGTGTAACTTTTCTGATGGAGAGTCCGTCAGATGCTTTTCTCCATGGAGATGTTATTGCTTGTCTGGAATATTTCACAGATTAAACCTTTTTATCTTCATGGATACCAAACCAAACAAGGTTATAGGATCTGTGGAGAGACACCGCTCACAGTTAGCATATGTTTTCTAGGTATTTTTGAGCTATAAAACCACCTGTAATTGAATAAATGTAGGTTGAGCTGTTTAATGTCATACTGTAGAACAATCCAGGCAAAGCATTGACATATCCATAGAAACAGGCAGGTGGCAGACCCATAACAAAAAAGTTACATAGTGCACCTTTAAGACATGAGTCCATACTATATCTAATATCATTTACGTTTGAATAAATCTGGATCTGAAATAAGGTGACTGCAGCCAACCTCTTCTTAAAATAAATGCCAAAACTTGAAAATGCAAATGTCAGGAATGTCCCAGTGCTTTGAACTCACTAAAAACTCCCATCTAAAATGCAAAAATGTGGAAGAACCAGAGATTGGATTAAGCAGGCTCAGGAGTATTTGTTATAGCTACTTGTTAATGCAATTCCAACTTTGTTTTAAAGGTTCTGAAACTAGGCTACTGTAGGCTCATTACAAAGTGTGGCTTCAAACTGGGTCTGGCATTTGACATTACTTTATTCAGTGTGAAAATTATATTGATTTTATTATTACCATTTATAGTTTTAGTCTTTGTTATTATATTATATTGTGATGAGTGAGCTACTGTGTCCAAATAATTTCCCTTGTGGATAAATACATTTTGTCTAAGTCTATTATTTTCTTATGTTTTGCTTATAGACTTGTGTCATACTTAATTATAGTAGTAATAAAAGAGTACTGGGCCTACAGCAGCATAAATACAATCTATATAAAGTTATTTCTTTGTCTTTTCTTTAAATACAATTACAACGTTTTCATGCGTCCTATATTTTGAACTGTTACGTGGGTTACTTTATTTCTTTCTCTAACAAAATTAGCATAAAACAACCAGAAAAAGTCCCAAACTACTAGCCTTAAAGGTACACTGCGCAACTCCCCCCCCATGATAAAAGTTTCATAATGCTTAGGGTGTCAAAAAAAGCAACAAAAAAAACAAAACAAAACTGGGACATCCTTGGTTTGGGATGGTTGGTAATAAAATAGTGAAACGAAAGTGTAATTAAAGAAAATTGTTATGCACTAGACCCATTTGTGCCGAAGTTGAGAGATAGTATAGTCACATTTGTGTTTTGGTCTTTTTTATTTTTAAGCATCATTTTCTGTATTTTACCTAAACAAAATGAAAAAAATTATACCCCCTTTACTGTTGGCAGGTATCAAATTTGTCTAAAATAAAGACACCTGGGGCATATTGGCTTTGGCTCTGATCCCATCAGCTCTCAGAAGCTCAGCAAGGCCGGACCTGGTTAGTACTTGGATGGGAGACTGCTGGGAAAACCACGTTCCACAGTGGGGAGCCAGTCCCCCCCAAAAAGCAAAAAGCAAAAAGCAACCAAACAAAAAAAAAAAAAAAAAAAAAAAAAAAAATATATATATATATATATATATATATATATATATATATATATATATATATATATATATAAACAAACTGTTGTTATGTCCTTAGGCAAGACACTTCACCCACATTGCCTAGTATGAAAGTGGTGTGTGCGTGAGTGATGGTGGTGGTTAGAGGGACCGATGGTGCTGATTGGCATGGCAGGTGCGCTTCAGTCAGTCTGCCCCAGGGCACCTGTGGCTACAGTAGTACCTTGCCACCACTTGATATGGAGTGACTGAATACTGCTCTGTAAAGCGTCTTTGTGATAAATGAAAACCGCTATATAACAAAAAAAACAAAAAAAAAAAAAAAACAAAAAAACACGTACTTATTTCTTGAATAAAATGGGACAAATCTGCTGTCCCGGGTAAATAGGTACATCTCCTCACCCTAATAATGCTCCTTTAATATTTGGGCAATGACTGGAGTGTGCTGTAATGCCCCCCCCCCCTCCTGACCCGCTGGGGCTGTGGGCGGCAGGTCGCTCCCCCTAGCGGCAGATAGCTCGCCTCTTGGCCGCGGCGGAGCGTCACAGCGTCGGTCCGTCCTCCCCAGCCTGAGTGAAAGTTGTCCCCGCCTGGAAGTGCGTTGCTTTGGGATTACGCTGGTCTCCGCCGCCGCTGTTGGCCTGGTTCTTTCCCCCGGAGAGAGGCAGCGAGATGAGGCGGAAGGAGAAGAGGCTACTGCAAATCGCCGGGCTGCTCATTGCTGCTCTGCTTTTCTTCCCAAATGTCGGACTGTGGGCTTTGTACAGGGACCGAGTCTTCGACAACTCTCCGGACAACACAGCGGACGGAGCGGGCGCCTTTCCCCCGGTACAGGTGAGCGAATCCCGTGTACGCTTAGCCCGGATAGCCCGCTGTTTACCCCCACGTTCAGGCGCTGTTGTCGTGTGTTTGGCTGCAGTGATTGTGTGCAACGTGTCTCTTCTCGGTTGTACGCTACATGTTCACATTCCTATACAAAGTCTGCGTGTTTTTTTTTGCATATTTAACCAAATATCTTTAATCCCGTGCGGAGCTGTAGCCGGTGCATGCCCACGTAGCTAACAGGATCTGGGCTAGGCTCGCTGGTTTCTCGCCTCGGTTGCAGTTGTAAAGTTACCGCTTGACTTCAGGAAGTTGTCAGGAGGATGTGAGGAGCAGGCAGTGTGGTGTAGTCGGGTCTGACAGGCTCCCAACAGCTTTCCGCCTCATCATCTCTACATCTCCCCGGGTTTAGGCAGGGGTGGGCGGCGTTATTCCCACCGGGGCCACGGTGACGGACCACACGGCAGACAGAGGGGACGTGTCGCTGAATTAATGTTAACCTACATTTATTTGATCACATGGGTTTTGACTTGACAGGGGGAAGACTTGCTTCCTTCTATCTATTCTAATGAAAGGCCAATGGTTTGTAGTTCCAACTCTAATGTTGTTATAGAAATTCAATAATGATATACAAGAACATTCATTTTGCAGTCATGTGTAGGCTGTTTTACTTTCAAAGCTCACAAACTTATTAATGCCACCAAGGAATGTTTTATTGTAGTGTGAAGTCTAAGACCAGATGATCAACTGGTCTGAATTAACAAGTTGAGGATAAGATCACTTGTAAAGCTGGTTTTAGTGACTAGTAGAAGTTATCACAATTGGCCTGTATATTCATTTTTTTTACAGTCCCAGAAAGTTAATAGAACCTGGAACAATTGTGTGGTCCTATTAGTGTTTTTGGTCCTGTCAGAATAAGAATTTCAAATGTACATATTCATGCCAGCAAAGAATATTTTATTGAATTGTAAAGTCTCATATAGTCCCAGTAAGTTAATAGAAACATTAATGCTGCCAAAGAATATTTTGTTGAAGTGTAAGCCTCGTATTTAAGCAATTTTGTGCAATAACGTCACCTTCTCAACTCCAAATCATCAGCTGGTCTGAACTAACAAGTTGAGGATTACAGGCCTAGTGCCTTTGTATCCTCAGGCAAAACACTTAAACTTGTAATTCACCGTGGATGGTAGTGTTAGGAAAGGCTGTGAAGTCTGGCTGAAGAGAATGATGGAATAATATCACTTGTAAAGCTTGTAGTGACTTGCAATTGCAATTAGTCTGTATATTTTTTTATTTATTTAAATTTTAAAATTTTGTACAGTCCTATAAAGTTAATTGAATCTGGAGCAATTGTGTGGTCTTTATGTATTAAAAAGCTTCTGAAAAGACCAAGGACACTAATAAGAACTTCAAACTTACATATTAATGCCACCAAAGAATATTTTATTGAAATCTGAAGTCTCATATTTAAGCAAATTTATGCAATAATGTCACTTTCTCAACTCCAAATGATCAGCTGGTGTGAACTAACAAGTTGAGGATTATAGGTCTAGTGCTTTTGTATCCTCAGGCAAGACACTTAAGCTTATAATTCACCGTTAATGGTAGTGGTAGAAAGAGGCGTGGAGTTTGACTGAAGAGAATGATGGAATGATATCAGTCAATAAGCTTGTTGTCTTGTAGTGACTAGTAGAAGTTACTGCAATTACCCCTGTTTTTTTTTTACAGTCACAGATAGTTAATAGAAGCTGGAGCAATTCTGTGGTCTCTATGTATTAAACAGCTTCTGAAATGGCCAAAAACACTAATAAGAACTTCAGTAAAATGTTCTTTGGTGGCATTAATATGTAAGTTTGAAGTGTGAAGTCTCATATAGACCCAGAAAGTTAATAGAAACATGTTAATGCCACCAAAGAATATTTTATTGAAGTGTGAAGTCTCATATTTAAGCACATTCTCGCAATAATGTCACTTTCTTATCTCCAAATGATCAGTTGGTCTGAACTGACACATTGAGGATAATATCACTTGTAAAGCTTACTGTACTGACTAGTGGAAGTTATTACCCCTGTTTTTTTTACAATCCCTGAAAGTTAATAGAAGGTGGAGCAACTGTATGGTGTTTATGTATTAAACAGCTTCTGAAAGGAACAAAAACACTAATAATAAAAACTTCAGACTTGTGTATAAATGCCACCAAAGAATATTTTATTGAAGTGTGAAGTCTCATATTTAAGCGAATTTAAGCAATAATGTCACCTTTTCAGCTCCAAATGATCAGCTGGTGTGAACTAACAAGTTGAAGATTACAGGCCTAGTGCTTTTGTATCCTCAGGCAAGACACTTAAGCTTATAATTCACCGTGGATGGTAGTGGTAGGAAGAGGCGTAGAGTTTGACTGAAGAGAATGATGGAATAATATCACTTGTAAAGCTTGTTGTCTTGTAGTGACTAGTAGAAGTTATTGCAATTAGCCTGTATTTTTTTGTTTTTGTTTTACAGTCCCAGAAAGTTAATAGAAGCTGGAACAATTGTGAAACAGCTTCTGAAAGGACCAAAAACACTAATAAGAACTTCAGACTTACTAACTCTGAACTACAACATTGGGAGACTTTTAATGGGTAAAGTCAGAACAAGTGTTGTAGTAGCAGCAAATATTGTGAAGAAAGCAAAATTAACTGTGGTATTGCTCTATTCCTTTGTGCTTTCTTTTTCCCTTAATTTTGTAAAAAGCAACTCTTGGGGGTAAAAATAAGACAGCTGTGAACCATTAAACTGACAGTGCACTGTTTGCATATCACTTGTTGTTAACATTGGTGTGACAGCACTCAGCTTTGGCTCTTGAAAGTTGTGTAACATGCGATAACTTCATTGTGGTGACTAATTGAGATGCTATGAATAACACTGGACCTCTGCAATCCATTTCTAAAGAACTAGTTCTGTTTTTCAGATTTTTTTAATATATTTTTTTTGATCTGCGTATCATGCTACACTTTACATATTATGTAGAAGTGTAACAATAACCAAAATATCGTGATATTGTATCGTCAAAAGTCTTTCAATAATATGGTGGACCATCACAATATATCAAATCACATGTTTCTTTGCTTAAATTCATTGTTATGGTGCTACAAAAGCTAGAAAAAGAACTGAGGAAACTACCCTAGCTCCGTTTTTGGGCAAACTACATGAAGAAATAGCAGTTCTAAGCACTTTTAAGTCTTAGTTCCTTGAATTAAGTCTTGTCAAGACATTTTAAGAGGAAAAAGTAGCATATTCACGATTTTGTTACCCTCCACAAAGTATCACAATAAATACCGTACCGTTAGATGTATATCATGAAAATATCATACCATGAGATTTGGATATCGTTACATCCCTAATATTATGGTACAAAAATCTGTTAACAAGGGGTAACAAAGCTTATTGACCTTTCTTATTCCTTAGTTGTGTTGCATATATCTTGAAATAGTTTTAAAATTTGAAGCGCACTGTGTAACTTTGCTGATAGAGGGCCCGCCACTTGCTTGCCTGGATGAAATGTTATTATTATTTGCCTGGAATGTTCCACAGTATGTCATTGAGCTTTCTGTCTTCATGGAGACAAACAAGTGATGCCAGCAAGCCAACTTACAAGTGATATCTGAAGAAATTTTTCTAAGTGTTTTGAAGAAATTAAATCACGAGTAACTGAATAAATGCAAGATGGATACATTTAATGCCATACTGTGGGACAAAGTGAAGCCAAAGTATATGTCATTTCTATGAAGGCAAGCTGGTAGTGGGCCTTGCACCTTAAAGTTACACAGTGCATCTTTAAATTTCATGAAATGTGCACTGAGGTAGTGCCTTGAGCCAATCAATAGTATTGTTATAAATTCACATAATTCTTCTATAGATGCAGCCTGAAGGAGGACAATGGATGTCGCTCAGATTCAATGAGTGAGAAAGTTGAATGGGCCTCTTTGAATGGAGCGCAGAGAGACTGGAGGAGCAGAGGGGTTGAGGGGGAGATACCTATTCAACAAACCCCTGCGGGAATGTATAGAATAACTGCTCAATTAAGACTGATCACTGCTTATTGTGGTCCATACCGTATCAACTTCAATAAATGAAAGAATGAACAATATATTTTTTTAGGAGTCAGTATTTATTGTGTGTACAATTTCTTTGCAATAGGGTGTGGGGAGATTTACGTAATGTTTACTGTTGCGCAAAAATGAACTGTAGAGGGTTGAAAAAGTAACTACAAGGATGAGCCCCCTTGCAAACTTCTCTAGGAACAATTTTCTATCGGTCATATGTCCACAGAATTTAAATTTTGTATTTGTATAGCTGTTGTTTTAATTCCAATTTTTGTATGTTTATTAAAAGTCAACAAAGAAAAAAAAAAAATAAAAAAAACTTCTACGGCTAATTATTGCATCATTCTGTTGTTTATTCTTTGCATCTTTAAAATTATCTTGCATTATTGTCAATGTGTCAGAGGCATACAATAGTTTCATTATTATTGTTTATCGCTGTATATTTCTGTAGCAATATATCAAGCTTCAATTGTTTTTATTGTGACAGGTCTAGGTCTAAGTGGATAGATAGACAGAGTAGGGCTGCAATTATTTAAGTGTACTTTTAAAAAAAAAATACATTGTCCAAACCAAAAATCCCAATTTGTGGTTTCTTGACAGGTGATATTTGCAAATTGTTATGATTTTTTTTCATTTGGAATCATTGTTATTATTGTCTGATTTTCATTTTAAAAAGGTGCTGTCTATGCTCTTATTCAAAAGGAATTAGATCATGTTACCTTTATTATAATATTGAATTTTTCATTAGCACTTCAGAGTTGACTGGCACATAGTCAATTAAAATTTACTGGTGTACGGTAAGTGGTTTGGGATTTATTCAAATGTTATAATAGGGCAGCTCCTATAATGATTGAGCAACTATACATGTTAGCAATGTGGCAATTATTTTGTAACCTCATGCATGCATTTGAAGATTATGTTTACACT